GCTCGTGCTTTGACAGGCTGGCGCATATTTCTCCACAACTGGAGGTTGAAGTGTTTACCTGTACTTCTGTCTGTCTGAGCATGGTTCTCTGTCACTGCACGCGCTTGGCGCACACGTCTCTGTGCTTCTGCCCCCCCACATCCACGCTCAGGTCTGCTGACAGGACCTCTGTGCGTCATGACGCGCAGCGCATTCAAAGCTGTGGACTTTTAAAGAATCCACTCCGTCACCATCAGAACAGACTTTATGTTTTTAGCTTTCTAAAGAACTAGCAGCTCTTGGGTTTTTAGAGAAAAAACAAGAAATATTTAGAAACCTGATCAAGGTTAAAAATAAATAAAATAATTTAAAAAAAAAATTTTCTTAGTTGATAAAGCATTCTCTGTGATGGGGATTCACTTTGAAGCTGAAGCCCGTCTGCTCAAATTAAAACGAGTTAAATGGAGAAAAAAGTTTTTAAAAGTAAAACTGAATATTTTATTTTAAAATATTATTTTTCTATCCATCTCACAAACCCATTTATAGTAAACTGTCTTGGATTAAAGGTTTACGGGACACTAAATTCTCCAATCTCAGAATTCTACAATCCCAAACGCACTCCCTCTGCGCGTACCAAAGAAAAATGAATTAAATCAACTCTCCTGGATGAGATTCTGCTGCTGTTAGTTTCTTTAAATCTACTAAAGGCCAGTCTGAACGCTCAAACCAACACTTAGAGATTTAGTTCATCACCACAGATTCCAGCTTCAGCAAAGGAGCCCAAGGCTGCGCGCATTAAGCAGAATGTCACTTTTCACTGACGCTATTTCCTCTTGTGAAGTTGTGTTCTATCTGTGCTGTTTAGCAGTTAAACAAATAAAACAAACTGTTCTCGTCCGTGCCCCCACCCCTCCTCCCCACACAGCTCAGAGGAGCCCGGCGCTGGAGCTGCAGATAATGAGCGCCTGCTTGCATTAAATGGACAAACAGCAATCCGGCATCTCCTGACCCCTCGATGCTCCTCTCGGCTCCATTGATCATCCCCCCCCTTATGAGATAATGCAATTACAAACATCAATAAGGAGCTGCGAGGGGAATCATTATGTGGTGACAGTGATAAATGATGCTGCAGAAAATAGCGGGCTCCTCTCAAACAATCGGTGCGCCCAAGGGGCTTTTGAGGGCCGGGGCCCCGTCGCCAAGGAGACAAATGACATCCAAAATGGCCCTCGCTCAACAGTCTTTCTCTCTTCTTTGGCTCCCTGGTTTTCTTTCACTCACATATTTTTTTTTCTTCGTTCTCTCCCTCCTTTCTTCTTCTATTGTTTCAAAACCAGCTGCCACGCGACGTTTGTTTTTTTGGGTGTGGTTGGAAAGTTTATCCTAAGAGATAAATGATAAGATAAATAATAATCAATTTTATTCAGGTTTCACTAAGTGGCTAAAGATATTGGCATGTCATTGAAGCTTTATTAATATTTCCAGTTATATTCGATTTGAAAACTATAGAAACTTTATCATTTCTGTTTTGTCTTGTTTTTTTTTTCTTTCATCCTAGATTCGTTCTCCTTTAACTTACATGTGGATGGGATCAGGCTTTCACTAGTCCATTATCATTTTTAATCAAATTAAACTTGTGACTTTCTGCTGGTCAGTATTGATAAATCAAATCAGATGGAAGGCTTAAATTAGGCCTAAAATGATTAGAATCATTAAAAAAGTGAAAATTCGTTAAAAAAAATAATATAAATAAACAAATAAATCATACATAAATAAACATCTCAACTGCTAAATAATGTTTATTTGATTCCATTTTTTAACGAAATTAAGATAAAAAAAAAGGTTTAACTTTTAGAGCCATGTTTTCTGACAGGCCGCGGTGCTCGGACCTGGTTTAGGATCAACCTTCTCTGTTGGATTCTTCATGTTCTCTTCTAAAAATGGACGCAAGAAGAGGCGCACGGTTCCTCGTCCAAACTCCGACTTTCTTCCATCAAAACGCGCAGAAGGTGTCCACAGGCCTGTGTGGACACGTCCAGCGCTCTGCACCACATTTCTGCTCCATGCATGAGCCTGACAGTTCACTGGGCGGCCAGTGTGTGTTTCACACGACTGGTTATTATCATTATAATATCTATCTATATCTGTCGTCATTATTATGATCATTATCCGGCTTCAGATTCACTTTTTATGGTTAAACACCTGCAAATGTTTCATAATTAAACATTTAATGTGAACGAAATGAAATATAGCTCACCTGTAATTTAAAAATATATTTAAACCGAGAGAATTACAAAAATAATATTTGAAAGTTTTTACATTTGATGTAAGGAAACAATTATTATGATCAAACGTTCATAAAAAAAATGTAACGAAACACAAAACCTATAAATTAGATTATTTAATCAAGCATCAAACATTTGGAACTATCTTCAAAATAATAAAATAAATTAATAAACGGAGGCTTTCTTTTAATAATTAAAAATGTTTTGTTTTAGGATTTTGGCATCTTTTTACGAGATTTGATTTTTAAAAAGTGTTATCGATGCCAAAACTCTCACATTTCCATACATATGAAAACACTTCACTAAATGACCCAGATGTTGTGTTTAAATGCGCGAGTTAAAATATTTTATTTCGAATGTATTCTGGCAAGTTTCTTTTTGTTTGTGGTTATATTTTGTATTTATGAACAACTGCAGATTACCCCAACTATTAACAAAGAAGCAAAAAAGAAAATAGCAAAAAAAACAAAAACACGAACCAACAAAACAAGTTAAAAATAAACTGATTTGTGCGCTCTGCGTCCGTGCGTAAAAGGAGACGTGCTGCTCTGCGCCGTCTCCAAAGCGCCCCTGCCCCCGGACAGTCAGTTACCCAGCCTCCCTAAAGAGGGCAGTCATGCATGGGCTTTCTCCTCCTGTTTCCACCGCTCCCAGCCGCCACAGGCTCAGGAATTCACATTTCATAGCCTCGGATTTGCCAGCCATGGCGGAGAGGCGAAGCAATTAAAACGTCGCCTTGGCTTTTTTTTTTTTTAAGGATCCAGTCTCTTATTTCTTTTTCTTCTTTTTTCATCTCTGCTTCTTTAGTGTAAATAGCATTCACTCCGACAAAGCAGTCAAAACACAATAGTTGTTGGAGGAGACACAGAAAGAAGGAGTATTGATTTATAACGCGTATATTGTTGTGGACAAAACAGACGCTCTTTTGTTCACTGGTCTGGAGCAGAAAAAAAAAAAAGACTCAGTTTTCCGAAATGTTTTAATCAGATCAAACTCGCGGCTCCTCTTTCCTCGTCTCGTCAGTGAGCAGAGCTCAGCCTCTCCCTCCTGGAGGCGCAGTGTAATCCCGGAGACGACCTCGGCTGCAGGAGCGCGCTGCGCTTCCAGCGGAGCCCTTTGACTGCGGGCAACAAAGCGTGAGGGAGAACTAATCTTCCCATTTACACGTTTGTAGCAGTTTTACTTAAATTAATTTTAATGCTAAATTAAGGGTAGTTCGCACTCCTTTCTTACTGGGTGGAGAAATTACAGCAGTACGCATGCATCAGCACATTAGCACGAAACTTTCTGTCGCTCAGCCGCTTTCGTCAATGGAGACGTGTTTGTGCCACATTCAGCTTCATTGAATCACGTGGATGATCAGGACTGTGCCCTGATTGTGTGTTACAGTGTGTCACATCTTTGGATAGGAATGTAACATGAGACTTGTAGGAGTCCTGTTATTTGAACAAAAGTATTTATTTACAACACAGGTGTACATATATATGTGTGTATATATATATATACACCCTTTAAAGTAAAATAATAATCATGACTTGTCTTCAAAGGAATTTCAAAGATGTGCATAATACATGTCAGAAGCAATGGACAATGGAAGACTTTATATCACACACTCACACTCCCAATCATTCTGCCCCTCACACACACCTCCACACACACACTGTGACGTTTATATTCCTTTCTGTCGTTGATCAGCATTACAGCAGCTGGTTAAATAAAAATGAATGAAATAAATGGTGTTTCCCACAGCGTCCGCCTCTCCCTGTGATCAGGAAGCATCACATGATGAGGAGAAGGGAATCAACCCATTGGCCATGCGAGTATTCAGCCATGTGACATGAAAGACGTCAGTGAGAGACTGGTACAGACTGTCAGAGGTCCTCCATCACAGACACGCATGGAAAAGACGACTGCACTTGTAGCTTCCACATAAAAATCATGATTTTTTTTTTTTTAAAGATTGTTGTGGGCATAAACTGTTAGTCGTGTCCACGACTATATTTCACAGCTGTAAGTACAAAATGAATGAAGTAGAAAACTGGACAAAAGCAACAATGTCCATCATACCTCAGTCTTTAGAAAACATATTCATTGTGTTTGTAATTGATTCAATGAGCTTCATGCCCCTCACCCCACACCCCCATACACTGTCTGATGATTTTCCTGCTCCAATAAAAATATTAAACCAGAAGAGTTTTGTAAACTGAGAAAAACATTTACAAAATGACCTAAGTTGGAGTTACAGGGTGTAGCAAACCAGCAGTAATACAGTTGCTGCATGTGCATGGAAGAGGCAGAGGACTGTGGCAAACAACACCCCCCACCCCACCCCTCACACACTACCACCACAACACATGCGCACGCAAAACATCTAGATTGCCATCATGTGTTGACAATCTGAATAAAGGCCACAAAAAATTAAGAAATATCCAATTGTTGTTTATTCACTTCTGATTACAAAAAAAAAACAAAACAAAAAGAAAACATTGTAACTGAATGAGGGGGGGGGGGGGTCAGATTTGACGTAGATGGCACGCACACACACACGTACGCATTCCCACACACACATAATGTTTGTAAAGAAACCAGGAAAAAAAAAATCAAAAAAAGTTCACATCTTTTTTTAAAGAAAATCTATTAGAAACAACATAATATGCAGAACAATACAATAGCATTTACAATACTTAAATTCTCAGTTCCTGTGAGAGTCCAGCGTAACTTTACAACAGTATACAGTATAATTTCTTTCTCCACTCACTCCCCAAACAAAGACTTGATATAGTTTTATATTTTTACTTTCTTTCCTCTTGCTTTCCAGGTCTCTGTCCACAATAGTTTTAAAGGGCACCTCTTTTGCTTTGCTAGCGTCCTCTTAGATACAGACATTGGCTTCACTTTGGTCCAATCCCATCGTCCCAAAGAGTGGAGTGCTTCGCACAGGAAGTCTCTTTTTGTTTGCCGAAGAGTCGAAAGTAGATCACCAGGTGCCACAGTCGCTGAAACGAAGCGACCCAGTAAGTCAATCACAATCACTTGGACAGAGGAATCCATGTGGGGCTTGAAGGCAGCAACGGGGACGGGGGTGGGAGTGTGGGGGAGGCGGGGTGAAGTCCGGTGGCAACCAGAGAAGAAGCAGGAATCTGTCAAGAGGTGGTTCTCGTCTTTTCCGCTCTCAACTTTCTTCGAAAGCTTGTAAGCAGTTATGGAAGGCTTCCATGTTTCAGGCGTCAGCCAAAAAAAATGCAGTTGGTTCCTTTATCTTGGGGTTGTTGGTTGTCGTCATCAGAAAGTCTGGGCATCCCATTCCCGAGCTCCGCGGGCCTCGGTGAGACACGATTCCCCTGCAGCTCTGAGGAGAGAAGAATCAAACTGATTAAAATGGTGTCATAAAAGCTTTGACCAAACTGTGCAAAAGGAATGTTTAACATGAGCTCAAATAAATTCAGAGGCATGGACTGGACCAGGATTGGTGCTAATGTTGTGGCGTAATGTAATAGTAAATGATAAATGATAAATGGACTGTACTTATACAGCACCTTTCTATCTGATCAAGATACTCAAAGCTCTTTACAATCTGTGCCTTATTTACCCATTCATACAGCACTCTACTAGATCTCTACAAAGATAATTGAACAAATCATTCTAAAGAGACTAATCAGAGCTTTATCACATTCATACACTGATGGGACACACATCAGAGGCAATGAGGGGTTCAGTGTCTTTCCCAGGGACACTTCGGCATGTGACTGCTGGTGGATTCGAACCCCCAACTCTTGCACTGGAGGACGACTGCTCTAACCACTCAGCCACAGCCGCCTCAATGTGTGTCTTAGCAAATACTGGTCAAGTCAGTGGAATATTATTCACCTCTGAACAGGTTGGAATCATTTTTCCACCATAACTGCAGTGCGTTTATAATAAAATTATTAAATTAGTTAGATGTTATTAATCATTCCAAACAGCAGAGCTTCAAACAGCTGACTATCAGCTTTCATTTACAACCTGCAGACAGAGCCTGTTTTACTGAAACAGTGTTAATCTGGGTCAGAGCAGTAACCAAAGTTAGTACTACACACACAGTGAGACAGAGAGCACAAAGCCTTTAGTAAGTTAATCCTACACCTACAGTAATGCTACTTTAACAGGAAGAAGGGACTTAAAGCCCAAACACACACGATCGACTTGAAGTGATACCGAGATTGAGTGCCTAACGTTTCCTGGATAATCCGTTTAACTGGACGGAGAAGAAACTTAAATGTACACATATTTATTTATTTTTGTAAAATGGTTGCATTTATTGGTTTCTTTTAAAGAGTGACGGAGGAGCTCAGCTCTATTTGTGTCACTCAGCCGAAACACCTCAAACTGATGCAACCTGCATGTCAACATTCCTGTTCAGACAAAATGTTAAAAAAAATCATCTGTACCCTCTTCCCCACTGCATTCCTGTTTTCGGCTGCAACAATAAGAGTCATCTATCTCAGCAAGTGGAGAGTCCCTGCTGAGGGCGCACGGCCAACATTGTTGTCTAAAGAGAGAGAAGGTGAGGCCCTACGACACCTGTCACCTGAGGGTGGCGTCCACGTGTTCACCGTGTGCAAATACTCAAGAGGACTATTACAGACAACCCAAAGTGTTAAGTAAAGCACAAGGAGCATAAGAACAATAATGGAATAATATCATTCCTTTTTCCCTCTCATCAGTCAGATTTACATAAAGCTAATCATAAAACAAGAGCAAGGTATTTCAAACAAATGTGAGCTGTTCTCTTTTCTGTACGAGAGACTTTTTTCAGGAGGTCTTTACTTTAGCTCTTTTCCTCACTCCTGTCTTTTTCAAGAACTGACAATTTTGTTGTTGCTGTTTGTTTGGTCAGCCAGCTAATTCTGAAATAAAGCATGAAACTAAGAACCAAGCATGAGCTTTTAGGAACGTTGTTACCAGCAGCCTGTCAGAAAGATGCTATTCTAATCATTTTAAATGTATGCAAATTACCAAAAATAACAGTTTGACAAAAATAAAACTGTCTTTGGCACAAGCAGTGTGATTCCTGTAGAGCTATTACCTGAAAATGTCTTAAAACCATAACTTTCAGAGATTGTTCATCAGCTGAAAATGTTTTTTTTTTTTTTTAGATTAGGTCTGACACTTTTTCTTTAGTCTGTTCCATTGACTTTACTTTTTAAAGAACACACTGTACAATATGTTGTCTTGGTCAAGTACAAAGACTGGGCAATAAAAGAATGAAACAGCAGCCAAGGTTCAAAGAAAAAACTTTAAGAAGCCTTCAGAAAACCTGAAGAACTGTTAATCAAAAGTACTTTTAAAGGTCAAAAGCAAGTCTAGCTTCCTGGAGGCAAAACACAAAGAAATTAAAAACCTTGCGATTCTTAAAGGAATGCATACGCCCAACATTTCTCATGACATTGTTTTTTTACTGGGACCATCTTATCTTGAGAAATTATGATGTTATGGTTGTTTTAGTCATTCCTAGAAAATAACATTGAGTGCATCATCTCAGGCAGTATTGCAATATTTCACATGATCTATCAGAGCTAGGTATATGTGTTATGAATGACTATCGGCTACCACCACATCAAATTTTAGTACAACAACTGTAAAATGTATCAAGTTCAAACCATTTTTATGCAGGCTAAGGTCAATTAGCTATGGTGGCCATATAGAATGGGGTTGACTCCAAAAGCTAATAGTTGTAGATGCTAACTCCATGGTTACTTTCTGAAAGGTTCCTTAAAATCTGTTGTGTGGTTAATGAAATAACAGTCGGCTTTTTCAACAGTTAGTAGCAAAGTTTTAAACACACATCAAACACATGGTGAGTTTTCACTCAGTTTAAGTTGAGGATCCATAAGAGCTACTAACACCAAATTTGAGTCTAATAGCTGTCAAACTGACTAATGTGTTTGCTAACATTGCTTAGCTGTGGTGGCCATTTGAAATGGGTTGACGTCAAAAGGTAGTAGTTGTACATGTCAACCTAATGAATGTTTTACTAAAGTTTCACCAAATCTGTGAATGGTGCATGAGCTATGCTAATGGTGCAGACAAACAAACACACACAGACACAGGAAAAATAACATTATCACGCCATCTTTGCTTTGGGCAGCGCACAATAATTATGCATGGTTTGAAACTTTGGCAGAGTACTGTACATTTACTTTCAATTTAGTGGTTATATTTACATATAAAACCAGAAGCATCAACAATTTATTCATCTGTTGCGTTGTCATTTCAAATAGATTAACTTCCATGTTTATTTAGCCCTGGTTAACAAGAGTGCCCTGATTACTACGGTAAACTCGTGTCAAGGGGCTAATAATGCTATGAGTGCTTGAAAAAGGACAGCATTGCTTAGAGGGTTTTTCACCTAATAAGCCAATCAATACATTGAGCTGTAAGTCTCATTTCCTAGACTTTGAGAGGGATTCCACAGGGGCCACATCAACAGGGACACACATTCACATGGACAATACAAGGGGGCACACAATCCCCATTGGGGCCTGTTTTTTTTCCCCCTTCCACTGTTAGTTAATAGTAAAGGTTCATCCACCAGAAAAAGAATTTTAGGGTGGGGTGACAGTGGGAGGGTTTGTGGAAGTTGAGGCTGAGGGAAAGGATCTTGACCTCTCAGCAGAAGGTTAACAAATTTGGGCTTAATGATTGCTGCAATGAATTCTGGGACAAAGGGTCTCCAGCCGAGACCGGTAGCAAAAGCATTCGTTCATTCAAGCGTTCTGTGCAAGATTTTGGGAAAAACTCCTAATGGGCTGGACCAAGAAAAATCCCATACCTTGTGTGTCATAATTAATTCTTCCACTCAGTGATAATGCTCCTAAAACCCAAGATTACAGTTTTTAGGTGCTACACATGGCTAATTTTGTGGAAAAGGGAAAACAGAAGAGAGGGAACAAGGGGGAAAAGGGAGTAAGGGTCATCAGGGAGTCGTTCTCGTTGCTATCAAAGGCTCCGCTCGCTTCTGCTTCAGTTGCTGGGCTTCATCTCTGCTGACAGGTGTATTGTTTCGCATGGGGCTATAAGCTCTGTAATCATCACTGGGTGGAAAGCATAACGCTCTTCACTAAGCAGGACTAATTGGCTTTAGTTTTAACTAATGTTGCGATGTGACTGCTAGGCACACCTTCTGTATCAAGGCTCAGTACTCTCCGGCACAATAACCGCTCCAGTCAGCCCCTGAAGCAACAAAATCTCAACTCTGCTAATGAAAATTGCTTATAAAATATAATGAACCTGCACTCTCTTAATCAAATAAGATAACTGTCCCCCTCCTTCTTCACATAATAACCTATTAATTTAATTGGTCATGAAAGAATATAACACATCACTTACTTTTAAATGACCTAGAAAGGAGAATAGTAGAATTTAGAGACTGTGGGAGCCAATGAAGATGTAAAGAAAAGACAAATCGAGAAGAAGAGTAGACATTTTTCTGTCATTGCCCCTCTCTCGACTTTTTTTTACTGTTCTCCTTTCTAGGTCGTTCAGAAGAGCGTGGTGTGGGATATTCTTTCATGTCTCGGTGATCTAATAGGATATTAT